GATACAAGACCTGATTGACACGGTGCTGAGAAAGGGAGAGGCTGCCCACGAACAGTTCCTCGACTGCCTGGAAAACCTGAGGCATGCCTTCCCCAGCTTGCGCCCACTTTCCGAATATTTGGAGGCTGGTGAGTTGTGTTTGGTGTTCATCCCTCCTCCTGTGGAAACTAAAAGTTGCCAACTTCTTAATGTGACTTTTAACCGAGTGTTGACTTATTTTATTTATTTATCAGATGTTTAAACCACCCTCCCCTATAGGATAGGGCTCAGGGAGGTATACAGCAATAAAAAGCCATTTGCATAGTTCACAATTAAAAATAAAAGTTCATAATTTACATTTACAGTTAGTAAAACAGCAATGAGCTTATAACCAAAAGATGGCAATAAGACTGCCAGAAGTGAACTTCTGGAAAAGGTGTGCTCCTGAGGTCAAGCAACTTAAGACCAATGCTAGCAGTCTCCTTCATTCCCAATGGCAAAACAAGGGTTTGTAGGGACGCTTTATCACAGTGCTGTCTCCAGTAAGAGGTGGCGAGGGGAAGCACTTGAGTTTTTCATACGGAAATTCAAGATATTAGGGACCTGGATTTGTGTTTAGCTTTCTTTTCGTTTCAGGTCCTGTAAATCCCACAAATAAACTTCACAACTCAAGCAATACTGTGATCTTGGAGAAAGGAGGTAATACTGAGACTACAGCTCAGGACCTGGATTCTGGCGCACCCTTCAGGGTTCCCCAGGAAATAAATATGGATGAAAATCTGGATCCTTCTGTCTCCTCAGAGGCAAGAAAGGATGTTGAGAAGCCAGGCATGGCTTTGCCCTCAGGACACAGACGTGGAGCTCAGAATCTGGATGCCGTTGAGGATGGAGATGGAGTGGAGAGACCAGGTGTGGCTGCCGCAGGCCCTCAGGAAGGGGGGCAAGCTGAGAACGTGGAGATTTCTGTGTCCCTGGAGGCAGCAGGCAGGGCTGAGAGCCCAAACAATCCTCTGCCCTCCAGGACAGGAAGTGGTGTGGAGATCCTGGGCACTTCTTTCCACTTGCACACTGAAGACACTTTAGGGGAACAAAGTGGAGCCAAGTCCCCAGCAAGAAGAGAAAGAACTGAGAGCTCAACCCAAGGTTTGTATCCAAGTCGAATCGTGCCAGGAAGGCTCCATGCTTCTGAAGTGTACCATGCATTGGCCAAACCCAACTCCAGTCAGTTTAAGTTAGGTTTCACCTTTAGTGATCAGCGAGGAGATACCTGCTTGGCTGGCTTTTGTAAGTCCCCACAGATGGTGGGAGAGGTGAGATGTCAGTATTTTATGATATAAACGTAATGGGTCTAGTCATATCGGCCAAGGCTTGTTCTCACCCAAACAAAGGTGTTTTTCTCTGATACCAAGTAAAAACTCCTTTTTGACCCAGACACTATGAAGTTGTAACCTAAACAATTAGAACTATGAACCTTCTACCTTCTTCTATACCAAAAGAATGCTATTGTCTTGTCTGTTAACATCAGCTGGAAAAATACCCTGACCCACAAGGAAGAGAGGCCTATATAACAGGCCTTCATTACATCCCCTTAAAATGTTATTTAAGAATAAATCTATAAAAAACAGAGAAATATGAATAATCAAAGAAAAGGAAAATCTATATAGTCCCATCTCTACTACATTGGCAAAACTCAGCTCCGGTCAGTTTAAGTTAGGTTTCACCTTTAGTGATTAGCGAGGAGATACCTGCTTGGCTGGCTTCTGTAAGCCACCATGGATTGTCTGGGAGGTGAGATATCATTGTTTTATTACGTAAACTAAATTGATCTCTGTCCTCTCCGATCAATTTTACTTGTTGCTTTCTGTGTAAAAGGTTTCTGTTTAAAGTCACAGGGTGTGCTTCTCCACCGACAAACTTCATGGAAAAAGGAGAGGTCTCTCTTCCTAGGGCTCCCAGGTCTTCCTTTCAACAGCTGCTGCCTTTCCTTTTTAACTGCTGCATCTCCAGGCCAGGAAAATCTGAACCTCTTGAATTTTCTTACCTCAAACTCAATGAATGCTAAGTTAATTATGAAAAGAAGAACCTTTGGATCTCAGGATCAGGACTATTGTTCGCTCCTTTTCTTTCTTTTGGTTCTGATCAGGTCCTGTAGATCTCAGGCATGAAGCTAAAATACAAAGTGCTGCGGTGTTGCTGAAGAGTGGGGCTGAGAAGTTGGGTGCAGCCATGTCCCCAGTGGGGGGCAGTGAAGATGAGGCAGGAAAGGAAGTTGAGAAGCCAGACACTGTTCTCTCCTCCACTCGGGGATGAAGAATCAGGATATCACTGAGGATGCAAATAGGATGGAGAAACCAGGTGTGGCTGCTGGGTGCCCGGAGAGAGGTGGCCATGTTGAGAACCTGGAAATGTTGCCCTTCCGGAGTTTGTCCTCTAGAAAAGAAAATGGAGCAAGAAAACTGCATTCTTCTGGAGATAATGAGCACACTAGAATTAGTGTGGTATAACAGAATGTCAGGCTAGGATTTGAAAGCCCTGGGTTCAAATCCCTACTTCGGGAATAGGAAAGGTGGGATAAAAATCTTTTTTAAAAAATCTGGAAGGCAAAGTAGGACACTGTTCCCAATGATAAGGGAAAG